AACTATCCCTGTAAATGAACCTGTTCAATTACAAATGTGTGCTTTAAAATATGATTTAACTGCCATAGATCACAAATCTAATGCTAACTAGTCTCTTTTTTCCTTTGTATCCTCTAGAAATTCAGGACTCAAGCTTCAAAGCAGACTCAAACTGCAAGGCTAGAAAGGAACGGACTGCCTTTACCAAGGAGCAACTCCGGGAGCTGGAAGCCGAGTTCACCCACCATAACTACTTGACCCGCCTGCGCCGCTACGAGATCGCTGTCAACCTTGACCTCACTGAGAGACAGGTACAAAAGATACTTCAGCTCATGCTAGTGGTATTTTTGGCTGAAAACAGTGAAGAAAACACTCATCCGTCAAGTTTAAATGAGTCTGTATGAAATATGATTGACAATTCCGAAGCAGAGCCGTCATCCCATCAATCCCTGACTTCGACCTTCAACGATTTCGGACTAGGCTCTTTTTTTTTTCTTATGCTCAGACCACACTTAGCTTGGTCCTTGATGGTTTTCCCAGGCCTGAATCCCAAGCATATGCCAGATCCCAGCACAAATCTGGGCTTCTCCCGAATCCCTTTGCAACATTTTCTCCACTTTTTCCGATGCATCCTACATATCTTGGCTGTCTGCCACCCTTTGCTTTCAAAATGAGTGGCAGACAGATTCAGTCAAGAAGGAGCAAGTAAAAATAGTGTGGGAACAGATGGTCCATGTTCCTATGTTTCCACAGGGAGAGAGGGATGCACAGGGGTCACAGACTTGCGTTCCTCAGAGCTTAGCCGTCAAAAATAATGTCACAAATCTCTTGATTTGCTGGCTGCAAAATTATTTCAAATCACTCAAGAGAGTATGCGTTTATTCTCAAAATCATTTCCAGACTGTTTTAATGCATCACTGTTTTTATCCACAGGTGAAAGTGTGGTTTCAAAACAGACGGATGAAGTGGAAGAGAGTGAAAGGAGGACAGCCTGCATCTCCTCACGACCTTGAAGCAGATGAGATGGACTCCGCCGCGTCGCCCAGCTCCGAGTAAAACTCTGATCTAGACATTTGCTCATATTTACAGTCACCCAAATCACCCCGGCCATATACACGATGTCCAATTTTTCACTAGTCCTTCCACGTGTCCCGTTACACTGCTTCATGTTGCTCTTTTCGCTCAGATGACTAATTATCAACAGAGCTTCAACGGCTTGGAAGTACCATCCACTTTCAGTCCACGTTTCACTTTCATTCGTAAACAGATCGAGTGAAATCAGAGGCCTATAAAAACCCAATTACTCACATGTAAAAACAAATTATATCAACTGTTCATGCCCTGGTTTAATAGCTTTGACCTCCAGCCATGACGGCATGAGGTAGGTCTTTCACACTGTGGTGATGGTACCTGAAGCCTGATCAGAAACACATGTGAAGCTCCGCAGAATGACTAGACGGTCTCTGGATCACGTCAACCCACAAAAGCATTGACATCACATCTTTATTTTTACC